CATAAGGGTATTAGCACATGTTCCTGTAATGACTGGAATTTGAATTTGGCTCAGATTCCTCAATCTGAGCTGGTATCCATTGGAACTCAACCCCATCTCTCAAAAGAAGTCTTAACCGATTTAAATGCAAAATCTTGGCTCACTTCAATAACATTGGCTCTTCCCTCCAGACGAGCATTTCTAAACCTGAACCCGTATTTTTTAATTATAAATAGGAAAGTTTTGTTTTAACCCATTCCTTACCAATTATTTTGGGAAAAATGTTTCATTTTCAGACAATTTTTTTATTTGTTTTTAATATAGTAACTAAGAAAGAGAGACATCTTGAAGTGTCTAACACCTCTACAAGATGTATGAGTTGACAACTGGACTCATTTCAAGCTCAGAAAGGCATAAAATGACTCCAGATCAACTATGAATATAGGCACCTTGAAGTACCTGAATAGTGTCTAACACCTCTACCGGATGTATGAGTTGACAACTGGACTCATTTCAAGCTCAGAAAGGCATAAAATGACTCCAGATCAACTATGAATATAGGCACCTTGAAGTACCTGAATAGTGTCTAACACCTCTACCGGACGTATGAGTTGACAACTGGACTTGTTTCAAGCTCAGAAAGGCAGAAAAAAGTGCAGCTTGATTGGCAACTAGGTCTTATTGTGTTACTGTTAAAATAGATGTAACATGAGGTTCTATTCTTACTTTCTTGTACTTCTTGCCTCTGGAACTCACTTCCAATTTCTTATTTCTCTGTCACGTATTATCTTTAAAAGTTTAAATGCAATCATCAATTGACATCTTTTGTCTTCCTGAAATCCATTCTTTTATAATCCTTTCTACTCAATAATGTCTTTTTATTTTCTTTCACACTCATTAACCATGGCATAATTGCCTTGTTTGAAGTGAAATGATTAACTCCTTCTCCACCACTTATTTTTTTCACTTTCAGACTTATTTTTTTATTTGTTTTTAATATAATAATTAAGAAACTGAGGTGACTTGAAATACCCAAACAGTGGCTAACAACTCTACCAGACATATGAGCTGACAATTAGACTCCTTTCAAGCTCAGAAGGGTATAAAATGATTCCAGATCAACTAGAAACATAAGCACGTTGAAATACCCAAACATTAGCTAACAATTCTACCAGACATATGAGCTGACAATTGGACTCTTTCAAGCTCAGAAGGGTATAAAACGACCCAAGATTGACTAAAAACATAAACACCTAAAAAAGAATCAATATCAATGTATAAACACGTCTGTAGCTGGTTTTTAAACATTATGTTTTGGACGTGTTTATTCATCTCTGTTTGAAAAAGATACTTTCAGTAAAAACGTATATACATGTCTATGCCAGAGAAAGAATTAAGCTACCTCTAACATTAATAGAGTTCCATAATTGAGCTGAAAATCATTCAGGGTCTCAAAAAATCACAGACGTTTGCATGGACGTACTGTGCAAGATCACTGTGTTGAGTCACTTTTAGGGTTTGTGTTGAATAAACATTAGTCAAAAAATAAAGCAGTCAACTCGTTTTTTAGTTTTTGTTATTACTGCAATACTCTCAGTCAAAAAAAAAAAAAACTGTGACAAATTTTTTTTTTCTTCGAAAAATGAAACAAACATTCTCAGTATAATATTATACTTTCATGATGTTTATTTGATAAATAAATCATTATTAAAAAAAAAGTAAAAATGAAGTAATATAAAAACAAATGTTTCACTGTTATTTATCTTCGACAATGCCTCAAGAGAATTATATTGATAGGATGGGTGAACTAATTGATACAAAAAAACTAGAAATACCTCAGGTGATACCGTCAACATTATGAATAATATTAAAAAACATTTGCATGTCTCTTTTGACCTCATATATCTGTACTGAACCTGTCCTTCCCCCTAAACACCTGCTGTGGCCCTAATCAACCAATCTGCAACCCATTAGCACAATCTGCGTGCTTTTTTTTTTTTTTTTTTTTCCAAGAAGGCACTGCGCATAAATAATCTATATCTGGCCTTGTACATTAACAATGTAAGAGAAACAAATGACTATGACAATGGGAGTGTTGGGGGAGGTGGAAGTTGACAGAAGAAAGCTGAGAAGTTCCCAGTCTGACCAACATCCCAAAATCAAAACACACCCTTCTATGTCTGTCTATATTTCTGAGATGAGGTATGATGTACAGTATTTACATTAGTCGGACTATTGTCCTCAAGGACACATGGCACAGTGGATAAAGGCGTTGGTTAGATCCAGTGACAGACCCAAAGAAGGTGAGTTCAATACCTGGTTAAGGCAGTGGAGAACTTTCAGATGGAAAATTAGCATGAGAAAACTGATAACTGACATCCAACAAACATGGCATGTGGAACTAGAACAGTCTACCCCAGTGAGCGAAATAAAGGGTTCAGTTCGAAATTCCAACCACCTGAAGAAGGCCGGAGCGTACAACGGCCGAAACGTTGTGACAAATATGGCGACAAAGATGAGGACAATAGTCCGACTAATGTAAATACTGTACACCCTTCTATATCTTATTCTTTTCTCTCCCAGGGCATGATCCACTGCACTGTGGAACTGACTTCCAGGGGGATGCTTCACCGAACAGGACAATGTTAATCTGTTCAATAGTGGTTATATTCCCTTAAATTGTACTCTGCAACCCTCTGTGGGATATTATGTACACAGTTTCAGAAACCTTTTCTCAGCTTAAATAAAATACTTACTGCAAGATTGCAAATACACCCAGTTTTGCTCACAAGACAGTTATTTTTTTAATAAAGTTTTCTCTCTTCATTCTTAATGAAAGACATTTTTTTTTATTTTCACAGTTTATTAATAAATAGACATCTAATAAAGTCATATTAACTAGAAAACTATGATATTAGGTTGGTGCAAAAATAATGATGTAATAATGTCGTTTTTGACGTTAAAAAATACGTCGAAAAACGACATTATTACATCATTATTTTTGCACCAACCTAATTTAACACCCTAAAATTTATTACTGGCTAGCTCAAATTAGCATCTTTCCCCCAAAATTTGAAAATAAGTTTCAAACTGAAAATTCAGAAAAGAAACACAATATCTATACAGTAAACATCCGCTTTATTTCTATTCTTTAATATCGTAAAAATTAAATATTTTAGTGAAATATATGATGCATTCAGTGGAGAAGGGCATATTTAAGAAGAAAAAAAAAAAAAAAATCAAAATTTGCCTTTTTCACTGCAAATTATTCATTATATCATATCCAAGTATTAGAGTGAGCCGATGACACAATATTTCAAGCTCAATTTAGGTTTATAGTTCGTAATCATGCAATGAGATGAGGTAACATAAACCGTAGATTTGTCTGTGGAATATCATTATTGTTACATAATTATTGTGAAATCATGTAGATTTTTTTTTTTTTCAAAAGCATTTTATTTATAGAAATCTAATAAAGTCATATTAACTAGAAAAGTGTGATAGATTAATTAACAGATTAAAAAGTTATTACTGGCTAGATCAAATTAGCAAATTTTCTTGAAAATTTAAAAATAAATTTTGAAATAGAAATTTGGAAAAGAAACTTGTAATGACTAAACATCTGGTTGATTTCTATTCTTAAATATTGTGAAAAGTTAATTATTTTAGTGAAACATATGACATTTAGATTTTAATGTAGTTTTTTTTTTCTGACAATGCATTGGTGTATATGAGCAATGTTTAAATGAATGCAGTTAGTTTGTGTTCAGGGGTTCATTCCTTGGATTATACAGTTGAATTAAAATATTCCAGTTCAGTAGAATCATAAGGATGAAGTCAATGAAGAGAGAGACTTCGATACTAGCAAATGGTCCCAGAGAGAGACTTTGATACTAGCAAATGGCTTTGGAGAGAAATTTTGAAACTAGGAAATGGCCCCAGAGAGAGATTTCAATACTAGAAAATGTATGAAAAGAGACTTATAACTAGAGAGACATTGCTACTAAGAAATACCTGAAACAACTTCCTTAATAGAAAAGTTCTCTAAGCACTAACAGTAGAAAGAGAACATTTTATTCTTGCATATTTGATTTGAAATTACCAGGTGTTTATCAAGTTGGGTTGAGTGTACCATTGCTAAACATTGTAACTGTCATAAGAGTAACAGCTCGAATAGAATAGTTTATAATCAAAATTTAATTTCAGAAATTCTACCAAAAAGAATTTGGTTTATAAACTTAAGAATAATAAAAGTGATGAAGATGTTACAAAATATCTCTAGCTTTCCATGAATGTTATAATTAAAAGATTTCATGACCATTTTTCTTTAAATGGTTCCATGAATGTTATAATTAAAAGATTTCATGACCATTTTTCTTTAAATGGTTCCATGAATGTTATAATTAAAAGATTCCATTAAGCATTATATTTTAAAAGATTCCATTAAGCATTATATTTTAAAAGATTCCATTAAGCATTATATTTTAAAAGATTCCATTAAGCATTATATTTTAAAAGATTCCATTAAGCATTATATTTTAAAAGATTCCATTAAGCATTATATTTTAAAAGATTCCATTAAGCATTATATTTTAAAAGATTCCATTAAGCATTATATTTTAAAAGATTCCATTAAGCATTATATTTTAAAAGATTCCATTAAGCATTATATTTTAAAAGATTCCATTAAGCATTATATTTTAAAAGATTCCATTAAGCATTATATTTTAAAAGATTCCATTAAGCATTATATTTTAAAAGATTTCATGACCATTATATTTTAAAAGATTTCATGACCATTATATTTTAAAAGATTTCATGACCATTTTTCTTTAAATGGTTCCATGAATGTTATGATTGAAAAAGATTCCATATGTCCGGCGAGTGTCAAATTTTTAAGCAATTTTGTGAACTCATAAAACTCTGAGACAAATGGTGTATAAAGTAATTATTTCTACTGTAAAAATGTTTATTTTTAATTCCTGTTGACACAAAATACATATCTATCACTTATCTTAAAAATGTTGCCTTCCATCACATTTATTCAACATGGCCAGGTCAGTTTTCTGGAAAGTAATGTTGCATGAATCTTATCTATAATTCTCAAAATGTGTGTGTGTGTATATGTATGTGTGATCAGATGTCGTTTATGCGTTCCACAATTTCATCTGATTTCGATGAAATGTTTCGTTTGACGGATAATTCTTTAGTGCCAGTTTTGAGTCCAAATTGGCTGGAAAAAATTACAACCTTGAAGGTGAAAAATTGAAAAAAACTGATTTTTTTACACTTTGAGCAAAAATCAAAGGCAAAATTTAATGTCTGTAAAAAGCAACATACAATCAATTTAGAGAGTTGAAATCTAATGTAAAAGATTATTAGAATTATAAAAAAATATATCATAAATAAAAATTATAGTATATTATTATTATGATGCTTCATGGAAGAGGTTCCTTCCTTGCAAGATTGAGAAGGCAAAAACGGCCCCTTTCAAGGCCACCCACCCATTCAAATTGTTAAGCCCCTAGTTGGGGATGTGTCTCAGTTGCACCCAATTGTTGTTACTAATATTTATTTTGGGGTGGGCTGATTTTAAACTTAAAATGCTCTAACAGTAAAAATTCCCAGTAATGAAAGACGAGGTCGAAGATGATGCATCAGTTGCACCCAATTGTTGTTACTAATATTAATTTTCGAATGGGCCGATTTTACATTGTACGCTCCGGCCTTCTTCAGGTGGTTGGAATTTCGAACTGAACCCTTTATTTCGATCACTGGGGTAGACTGTTCTAGTTCCACTGTGCCATGTGTCCTTGAGGACACATGGCACAGTGGATAAAGGTGTTGGTTAGATCCAGTGACAGACCCAAAGAAGGTGAGTTCAATACCTGGTTAAGGCAGTGGAGAACTTTCAGAGGGAAAATTAGCAGGAGAAAACCGATAACTGACATCCATCAAAAACATGGCACGTGGAACTAGAACAGTCTACAATGGGTTCAGTTCGAAATTCCAACCACCTGAAGAAGGCCAGAGCGTACAACGGCCGAAACGTTGTGACAAATATGGCGACAAAGATGAGGACAATAGTCCGACTAATGTAAATACTGTACATAATACCTCATCTCAGAAATATAGACAGACCGTTAAACATTCTCCTTACAAATGAAGAGACTTGAAGCAACAGAAATGTGGTTCTACAGAAGGATGTTGAGAATACCATTGAGTGAACATGTAAGCAATAACAAAGTTTTAGGAAAATCAAAACAAAAAGATCACATACTTAAATCATGAAGAATTAGGTGAAATTTTTAGGACACATATTGGAGAAAGAAGGCTTGGAAAAATTAAAACTCACAGAATATAATGAAAGTAAGAGAAGTAAAAGGTATCAGCAAGTTATCTACCTAATAAGTTTATATAAATGGATTGCAGAACAGGGAGTGGGAAGGATCATGAAAAACTCAGAGCTACAAAAGATAGCAAGTCGTGGAGAGCCATGATCGCACATGTCCTGATAGGACATGTCACATAGAAAAGAAGGTTACTGAGTGTGAAACAATATATACATACTAATTCTTGTTCAAAAACAATACAAGTCCATTATTAGTCAAAATCCAAAGTTACATAGGAAGAAAAATCTTCATAATCATTGTCAAACATTTCTTGCTTCCCTGATGACTAATCTTCGAAAATTTAAATGAAACGTCAATTGCCATCTTCTGTCTTCTTGAACGCAGTTCCTTTTTGTCCTTTTCGCAATCCTCTCCATTTTCAGTTTTCTCATTTGTTTTCACTCCCTGTAACTCCTGTGTTTCAGTGGCATTGTTGCTTTGCTTCAGGTGAAATGATAAAAAGAAAAAAAGCAATAGGAAAGAAGAAAGAAGGCAAAAAGAAAAGCATGAAGAAGAAAGTGGATGAACAAAATTAATCAAAAAATGAGAGAAAACGAAGAACAAAATAAATTGGAGAGTGAAAGAATAGGAAGAACAGCATGCTGCTGGATTGGTAATTAGGTCTCATTGATTTACTTTTGAACTAGCTAGATGCAACTGACACTTCTAATGTAAAAGTTTCCTTTCTTGCACCTTCCATCTATGGAACTCGTTCCTGATTTCTTTTTTCCCTGATAACTAGAATCTTCAAAAATTTAAATACAGCATCAATCACCCATCTTCTGTTTTCTTGAAGCCTGATTTTTTTTTGTCCTTTCCTCAATCCTCCACATTCCAATCTTTCCCTCTTTCAATCCTTTTCACATCTCATTCTTTTCTTTTTCATTCCTTTTTCCCCATCAACTCTTTCATTCCTGTTCCTGGCAACAAGGAATCATTCTCTTTCTGATCCTTAAATACAGCATCAATCACCCATCTTCTGTTTTCCTGTTCTTTCTCTCTCATTCCTGTTCCCACCTCCCCATCATTTTTTTGTTCCCCCATCATCCTTTCCTGTTCCCGCTCTCCCAATTCTCCATCATAACCCGCTCTCCCATCATTCTCTCTCTCATTCCTGTTTCCCTCTCCCCATCATTCTCTCTCATTCCTGTTCCTTATCTCCCCATTCTCTCTCATTCTTTTCTCTAAAATTCTCATTCCTTTTTTTCCTCTCCCCCTCATCATTCTCTCTCATTCCTGTTCCCGCTCTCCCCATCATTCTCTCTCATTCCTGTTCCCGCTCTCCCCATCATTCTCTCTCATTCCTGTTCCCATCATTCTTTCCCCATCATTCCTGTTCCTGTTCCGCTCTCCCCATCTTCATGTCTCATTCTCTTTCCTGTTCCAATCTCCCATCATTCTCTCTCATTCAAATTCTCCCATCATTCTCTCTCATTCCCATCATTCTCTCTCATTCCTTTCATTCCTTATTCCTCTCCCCATCTCTCCCCATCATTCTCTCTCATTCCTGTTCCTGCTCTCCCCATCATTCTCTCTCCCATCATTCTCTTCCTCATTTCCCCATCATTCTCTCATTCCTGTTCCCTTCTCCCCCATCATTCTCTCTCATTCCTGTTCCTAGATCCCATCATTCTCTCCCTGTTCCTGCTCTCCCATCATTCTCTCTCATTCCTGTTCCCCATCATTCTCCTCATATCCTGTTCTCTCATCCTTCATTCCTGTTCCCCCTGTTCTCCCCATCATTCCCATTCCTTTCCCTTTTCTTTCATTCCTGTTCCTCTCTCCCATCATTCTCTTTCATTCCTCATTCCTTTCATTCCATTCCCGCCTCCCCATCATTTTCAAAAATTTTTTTACTTCTTATTTGTTTCATTCCTGTTCTCTTTCATTCCCATTTTTTTTTTTTGTTGGTGGTGAAATGACTAAAAAATAATAAAAATTTAAAAATTAACTGTACAGATGTAGAGATATTTTTTTATTTAGTTTTTTTCCATTTTATGGAAGCAATTATAATAAGCCTGCATACATTGATAAGAACTACAAGGGAAAGAAGGTTGTGGAGAGCCATGACCAGTCATCTAAAGGGGCACATCACAAAGAAGACAATATTTCAGGCGGAAAATATTTTTCTTGTTCTTTGTTGGCCTTTTTGGTAAGGCATTTCCAAATGAGTTAGACACATTGAGATAAAAATTTTGATTATTGGATAATCAAAGCGTTTCTTGATAACATCATTAGACGATGTGAGTTGGGGGTGTCTGAGCTGAACAGTCGTTGGTCGGCATTGAGTCTCAGTAGCTGTCCCTCAATAATCAATGAAATGAAATGAAAAAAAAAAAAAAAAAAAAAAAAAAAAAGGGGGATGAGTACAGTCTTAAAATTAATATGGTCAGAGTTATTTTTAATTCCTGTTGCAGTCGAAAGAGACCGGAATTGAGAGGTGATAAGCTCAGATAAAAAAATCTATATCACAAAAGAAGGGCTGATTTTCTGTCCATCGCACACTGCTTATTTGTGACTTCTCATGCGTGCATGAATGTATGTGTTTATGTCTGTGTTGTGCATGAATGACTTCCATGTGTTTGTGCCACTTTATGTACGAACCGGTGCACAGACACATCCGCACAATTTGCCTGGGTTGGAAATAAGATACGGGAGTAAAATACGTGGACTGGACAACAACTACCATGGGTTCAGCATTGAAATCGTTAGGCTATAGACAAGGAAAAAAAAAATTTAATATTTTGAATATTAAAAAAAAAAAAAAAAATCAAATAATAGGTTTAGACAGGTTTTCCTGGTTCACACTCTTCCTCAGTCTTTTGAAAAAGACGAGTGGTTCATCACTTATTTTCCTGTTTAGGATTGGGTTCCTGGTTTCTTGTAAAATCTACTTCAGCTATATACTTGTAACATCTCCTCTTGAACTCTGAAATTTTATTTACTAACAACGAATACCTCCTGAAGTGTAAGGTTGTAGAAGTAGTATTTAAATTTTTTTTTTCTTCTTTTAAATCCGTTTTTATTCTTCTATTTTGTTTTTTTTTAGGCTCAGGAATTATAAAGAGCCTTAAAAATGTTTATAACAAATATATTTTGACATTTCAATTTATTGTTGTTATCCTTTCATCTGCTTTACACATCTCAGTCTTTTGAACAGGAGTAGGGGTTTATCCCTTGTTTAGGATTGGGTTCCCAGTTCCTTCTAAGGTCTACTTCAGCTGTATACTTCTATCATTTATGCCTAAATTTTTATTTACTAACATCAAATACCTCCTGAAGTGTATGGTTGTAGTAGCAGTAATATTTAAAATCATTTTTTTTCTTTTAAATCTGTTTTTTCCTTCTGTTTTTGTTTTGAGTTTCTTTAGATGCAGGAATTATAAAAAGCTTTAAAAATATTTACAATAAATAGAGTTTGAAATTTCAATTTGTTATTAGCCTCTCATACGATTCACACTTCTCCCCAGTTTTTCAACAAGAGTAGGGGTCTATCTCTTGTTTCCTGTTTAGGATTGGGTTTCAAGTTCCTTGTAAAGTCTACTTCAACTCTATACTTTTAACATCTCTGCCTAAACTCTGAAATTTTGCTTACTATTTATTGATTTTTCCTCAAAAGGAATTAGATATGTTCGCCTCATGTTCAGTTCACAGTCCTCTTCAGTCTTTTGAACAAGAGTAGGGGTCTATCTCTTGTTTCCTGTTTAGGATTAGGTTTCCAGTTCCTTGTAAAGTTTACTTGAACTTTATGCTTTTAACGTCTCTTGAAATCTGAAATTTTATTTACTAACGTCAAATACCTCCTGAAGTGTATGATTGTAGTAGTAGTAGTAACAGTGTTTAAAATCATTTTTTTTCTTTTAAATCTGTTTTTATTCTTCTGTTTTGGGTTTCTTTAGCCTCAGGAATTATAAAGAGCCTTAAAAATGTTTATAACAAATATATTTTGACATTTTAATTTATTGTTGTTATCCTTTCGTCCGATTCAAACTTTTTCCCGATCTTTTGAACAGGAGTAGAAGTTTATCACTTGTTTCCTGTTTAGGATTGGGTTCCCAATTTCTTCTAAGGTCTACTTAGCTCTATGCTTCTGACGTCTCTTCTTAAACTCTGAAATTTTATTGACTATTTGTTTTCCGCAATAGGAGTAGATAGGTTCAACTATCGCCCATTTCACAATCCTCCCCAGTCTTTTGAACAGGAGTAGAGGGTTTATCCCTTGTTTCCCATTTAGATGTGCAGTTGGTGTAATGGATAATGGCTTAGAATTGTTAATCAGAGAGTTGAATTCCAATTTCAGTTAGGTTTGTTATAGTCACTTACGTGCAAATACCCTTAGGAAAGATGAATCCACCCCTTCTCCCCACAGCTATAGGTTAATCAATGAAACTTGTATCACTAAAACCATTATTATCTCAAAAAAAAAAATAAATAAATAAAATAAAATAAATTTTGCATACAAAATATTTAGATTTTGGCATTAAATAACCCATAGAGGTGTTGATATGCTGCTAAACAAAAACCATCCTTGGCTAACAGGAAGTGTAGAAGCCAGCCCATTGAAGTCATTTTTTTGACTCCTGTATTTAAACTGAATATATTTTCTAATAACCAGTGCATCAGAATGTTTAGTTTCTGGTCATGAGAGACAGGCTCAAATCTCAAGTTAGGCTATTGGCCTGGGAAGGCGATCTTAACATTGTGATACCTGGTGAAAAGTACCTTAAACCTATGCCATAGGTTGGCCCAAGCCTTGTGAATGAAACTGTGTAGTCATACTATTCATCAATTTTTGTGTCAGCATGATGTCACAAGTCATCGTGACTGAGGGCTTTAAAGCATATGGGATTTGTTCAAACTGTTTATCATGCCAGATTCTATCCAATAGCTGCAATATACACCACAGCTTGGCTCTGTAAGTGTATATTATTGGTGTAGATCAAAAACAAATGTGCCTGAGCAGGCATCTGCAAATGGGATTTGCTAGCTACCCTAGAGCAGGGGTGTCCTCAGAAATGACCAGCAAACCATTATGCTTCTAATAAATGTATTATTTTAAATAAATAAAAAAAAAGATGCACAAATAATGAATAAAAAATAAATTTTCTTGTTTATGATGAGAAAGTGTTCATGATGAGAAAGTCTTCATGAATAAAAGAGGAGGAAGGTCCCACAAGAAAGCAACCCTGATAAAATAATCGAGATCATGAGAAGATAAAATTTCACATTCTTTATCTCATGAAACAGGTTTTGTTCTATCATACGCTGATATATTCAAATTATTGACGTTCTCTTTAGTTGTTATAAGATTATGTTGACTAATTTAATAATATATCAACCCTAGTAGGGCTATTTATGGTCAAATATAAATCTTGTGGGACAAAAGTTACAAGGAAATACTCAAAAGGTCAGTGTAGGTCAAGGTTTACACTTGCAGTCAAAGACTAGGCATGGATACAATTTTACAGTAGGGGTAAAAAGTAGACATTGGTTTGGATGTGGACTAGAGGGAAAATGGCAGAAATGTGTCCACTTTTTCAGTGAAGGTAAAAAAGTAGACATGTGTCCAGTATTTCATTGATGGCAAAGAGTCGACATACTAGGTGTAAGAGCAAAATGTCCAAATTGTGTAACAGCAAAATTGTCTAATTGTTAGATTAATCTTTGAACCATTGTATATTAGAAATGATTAAAGATATCTTACTGGAATTTTCCAAGGTTTTTATCACACTATTAGACTCTACTTTGAGCAATAAGAATGTATAATTACTCTCTAAGCTTAACAGAAGTATCGTGATGAATTTGATCATAAACGAAAATGACATGTTCATCATTAATTAATCATAGCCAAGGATCAGAAGCTCATGAAGGATTGAAATAACGATCAAATATATATATATATATAAATTCAAGAATATAACAGATAATATTACCATTACACTATTATATATATATATATATATATATATATATATATATATATATATATATAAGATGATAACAGCAAAATTGTCCAATTGCTAGATTAAGCTTTGAACTGTTATATCTTGGAAATGATTAAAGATATTTTACCAGAATTCTCCAAAGTTTTTATAACCCTACTAGAAGCATGGCCCAGCGTTGCCCGTGCTTGATTCAAAAATCATACGACTCATACAGCACTGCATGCACTAACCTGTTTCTTCCTGCACATAGCGTGACCTTAAAGTAATCTGCATTTAGGAAATACCCAACCGGAAAAACATTTTTAAATTTGACCGATTGTCCATTTGCACTCTGTTTGGGGGGGCATTTAAGTTGAAACTTCACATGGTGACTCCCAATGGCCTCCTCATAAATCCGCTCAGTTTTCGCTAAAAACCAACATGCAGTTCAGGTGCAATCTGGACATATTGGCTTTTGGGTTTTATCGATTTTCTGCGCTGTTTAGGGGTCTGTGGTCATAAAACTTCTGGACAACACTTCTAATGGTAGACTCTAAGAGGGTGTCAAATTTGATTGAAATGCAATCATTCCTTCTGTAAGCAGATTTTTTCGGAACCTGAGTCCGAACTGAAAAATCAGGCTGCGTCATGTCCTTAAGGCAGCCATTTGCAAACTTGTGGTGAAAACCGCATAAAAATCGGGTGAGAAATGTGGCCTGGGCGAGGTAACAATGCCCATAACAGACAACATGAGAATTATAGATAGTAGATTGGACTCTACTTTGAACAATAAGAATGTATAATTACTCTCCAAGCTTGACAGAAAAATCATGATGAAATCAATCATAAACGAAAATGACATGTTCATTATTAATTAATCATAGCTAAGGACTTGGAAGCTCATGAAGTATTGAAATAAATTTCATATATATATATATATATATATATATATATATTTTATTCCAGCATCATTTTCCAACTTATTCAAGATGATCTTC